TATAGAGAAAACAAAACTCTGGAATTTTCTGGTGAAATGTCCTAGTTTTACAACATAACACACATGAAACAAAGCATATCTGAAAGCCTGGTTCAACCTAAAATCTGCCACTTTGTAACCTTACCTACACAGGAAACATAGGTCTTTAAAAACTCCTACAAGTTAAACTAAATAAATATACACATGAAGGACAAAGAGTGTCTCCCAGATTCAAGAAAATAGCAACACGACTAACCAAATATTAGTAAGAAAAACCACCATGCACATGCACACAAGTGGTTGGCTAAGGAGAACGTAGGTTTAAGAAGAGATATGGTTTATTCAAGCACCCTCCAAGGTCAGAGAAAGGGGAAGAGGGTTGGTATGAAAGACATACAGTCTAGTCACAAGAAAGTTATGCGTCACAGTGAAGAACTATTCTCCTAGGCTCTGCTAGTAAATAGAGGAAACATCACTCCAGAACGATCTATCTCTGTTGCTCTGATTCTTTGCCCACTAATCGATTTTTGATGAAAAAACTCACTTTCCAGGCACTGTGATACCAGAGGTGGAAGGGAATTAGGGTATAAGCACTGAGCTCACTGAAAAAGGACTTACTGCCATTTAGAAAAAAAAAAAATTGCATCTGATTTCTATCCAAGTTTCATGTGACCAACTAGTTTCTATCTCTCATGGATCATCTATAGGTATGCTGGGAAAGTTCAGTTTCTGGCCCTAAAAGGCTAGGATTTGGAAGTCAGTGACTCAAAGTGCTGATGTCTGTCATCTAGTGGTATAAAGAGTAGTAAGACAGCAACTCTAAAGGACATTCCTATACGCCCGTTCCCCATCAAACTTGGCTATTGTTTCAAGCCTTAGGACTGGGCCCTGTAGTAAAAATAGTAGCTGCAGCAATAACAAAAAACAATACTCCTATAGGGCTTTGATAGCAAAGAAATAGTACTTACATTAACAAAATCCCCACCCTGAATCATGAAATCCTTTATGACCCTGAAACAGAGAATAAAGGATCCTGAGAGAAGGTTCTGTTGTTTAGAAAAACATTGATTTAGTCATACTTTAGATTAACATTGATTTAAAAATAAAATGTTCATCACTTTGGCTTTTAATAAGCCTTCAAATCAATTGTTGAGTTCACAAAAACTTTCTTCTCAAGATCTAGGAATTATCCTATGGTTTTATTTCCCTCTAAAGAGACGAATCCCCCAAGGAAGTAATTCTAAAAGCCTGCAGGATGGCTTGCCAAGGCCTTACCTGTGGAAGGTGCTCCCTTTGTATCCTATCGGAACCCCATCTTTTCTATAACCAAAAAGAAAGAAACTTGGAGTGATGACAGGTAATCATAGGCCTGTCCAGTTTACCACCCACTGGAGCCAAGGGATTCTCCTAAAGATAGTCGGAAGAAGTCTATTACTGTCACAAGCAATCATTCAAGTCCTGCCGGTGGTTCCCCAAAACCCCACTGCAGCCCCAGGACACCCTTCAAGAGCAAGCAGAGAAATCAACCACGTCTGAGACTGACCTGAATTCTCCAGTGCAGAACTGCCTGAAAGGGAAATGAGTGAACGATTCAGTCACCATGACATCACAGCTGACGGCGCCCTGAATGGGGTGGGGATGGGGGGAGCACAGACATTCGCGCCAGCAAGCCCACCAACGGGCCAGCCGACAACCAGACACCTAAGCATACAAATTAACAACAAAATTGATACGGGAAGAGTAAAAACGGTGACTATTCAGAGCGCTAGAGAGGACTCCGATCTCCAGGGCAGCGAGTGGACGGATAGAGGGAGGCAGAGGATAACGCGTACCGAGTCTAGCTTCTGGTTCAGTTAATCTAGCAGAGCTGGATCATCTCCTTACCTAAAATTCTCGGCCGTCTTAGGCACAACGTCCGCAAAGAGCTCGATCTTCATGCGGCCAACTTCCTGCAAGCGGCGGGAGATGGTCAGAATACCCGGTCCAAGACCATGAAGGCCTCAGCGAGCAGGGAACTGGAGAGGCTCACCCCTCTCTCCCCCTTGCCACCTCCGCCTCCACAGCCTCTCCTTCCATGCCGCCCAGTCCCTCCCCCTGCGGGGCGCAAGGATGGGCAAGACTCCTCCTCCCCCTCCCGTGCCCCCGCCCCGCAGGTCGGTAGGTTCTGGTCCAGTTTCGTTTTCTGGATTCTCGAGTCCGCTATCCCTGGGTGGGTGAGATCTTCCCGGCTGGCCCCGTACAGTGTCCCTTCGGCGCAGTGGCTGCCTGGGACCTCACCTGGCCGCCAATGCTGACATCAAAGAACACCACGGGATTGACAGGGCTTGAATTTGCCACCGCCATGGCTCCGACCCGGAAGCAGAAAACGGCCGCAGGGGTTCCGGCGATCCTCACCCCCGCTTTGCGGGTTTACTCTCCGGCGCAGGCGCAAAAAGAGCCAACCGAGGCCAGGCCCCGCCCCCCGGAAGTCCCGCCCCACCCCTGATGCGGAGGTCTTTCGGCCTGCAGCACCCAAACTGGGCGTTGCGGCAGTAGGCGGGGCCAGGACCTCGAAGCCCGCATATATGCGGTTTCTTATCCCTGCCCCTTAGTCTGTGAACCCTACGAAGGCGGGATCCTGTTCATCCTCAGCGCTTAGAACAGCCTGGCATATGTAGCCCTTCAGTTAAGTCAGGACACCAGAATTTTAGTTCTAGTTCTGCCACAAGCTTTCACTCTTGTCACTTACAATTCATTCCTGCAGAGCAGCTAGAGCTTTTTAAATAAATGTTTATAAATCATTCCTGGCTTCCCATATTTAAAATAAGATCCAATTCCTTATATACAAAGGCCTACATTACATTATCTGGCCGCGCATACCTGGCCTCATCTTGTATCACCCTCAATCATGATACTTGGCTTTTCTGTCCCTCAAGGTCATGGAGATGGATACTCTCTTTATAGAGTCTTGGTACTAGCTGTTAAATGTCTTTAACATTCTTCTAGGTCTTAATGAAGGTAGGGAGTACTCCTTGTAGCTCAGTTCTCAGCTCAGTGGTCACTCAACCTAAAGTAACCCATGGCCACTCTTTCAGATGCATCACTAGTTTATTTTCCTCATGGCACTCACCATCCAAAATTATATGGTCTGTCTCCCCACCTCTGTGTCCCTGTTGCACACACATACCTACCCTCCAACCTAATAGCACACTAACTCCAGGAAAGCAGAAGCTGTTTGTCTTCACAGGTGTAGCTCTAATGCCTACTATTGAATAGCACATAGTAGGGATTCAATAGTGAAAGAAGGTGACCTTGGGCAAGGTTTGGAGTCAGAGCATATATCTGATATCATAGCTATTATGTCCTATATCCTTTGATCATCCTTTCTAGGTCAGTCATCTGAGGAAGCAAGGGTTACATATAAAAATTCAATGTTTCAACTTCAGGTGTCTTTTATTTTTGGTTACTTTTCCTTTCCCCTTGGTCTCCTTCTCTATCTCCAATTGAAGAAGAAGAAAAAGGAGGAGAATAAGGATGGGAAGAAAGAACAGCAGGAATCACCCTTCAGTATAATTTACAGCAACTATTTTAAAATAAATTTTTTAAATTGGTAATATCCAATGTTGATGAGGTTGTGGAAAAACTAGTACAAAGTGCTGGTGAAAATAAATGATGATACCTAGCTCTTGTTAAGCAGCTACTAAGTTCTAAATACACATTTCATTTCATTTGGTTCTCACGACTCTATGAGACAGGAACGACTACTGTTCCCATTTTATGGACCAAGAAATTGAGGCTTAAAGAGGTTGATTATAGGGGTGCCAGGGTGGCTCAGTTGGTTAAGCATCCCACTCGATCTCAGCTCAGGTCTTGATGTCAGTGTTGTGAATTCAAGCTCCACGTTGGGCTCCATGCTGGCATGGAGCCTATTTAATTTAAAAAAAAAAAAAAAAGGAAAAAGAGAAGAAAAAAAGAGGTTGACTATAGAAACATTATGTTGACACAACTTTTTTTTTAAAGCAACGCAACAAGTGATATACCAAAACTATATAACATTTGTATTTCTGACCCAATTATGCCAATCTTTTCTGGAGTAACTCAAGAGAAAAAAAGAGCTACATTCACAAAGACTTTCACCACAGCATAATCTCAAATAGTGAAAAAGTAGAAACAACTTAAATGCAAACAACGAGAGAATTTATAGAATATCAACATGATAGAATATCATGTGGCTACTGAAAGAATAATTATGAAGACTTTTGAAATACAGAAAAATGTTCTGTGGTATATATTTTTTTAAGATTTTATTTATTTATTTGAGAGAGAGAGAATGAGAGATAGAGAGCATGAGAGGGAAGAGGATCAGAGGGAGAAGCAGACTCCCTGCTGAGCAGGGAGCCTGATGTGGGACTCGATCCCAGGACTCCAGGATCATGACCTGAGCCGAAGGCAGTCGCTTAACCAACTGAGCCACCCAGGTAGGCACCCGTGTTCTGTGGTATATTAAACTAAAAACCAGGCTGTGAAAATGAACATACAATATAACAACCACTTAAAAATATATGCATTTGAATAAGAACCAAAAAGGAATACATGAAAATAGTTGTCTTGAGAATGCAGGATTATAGGAGATTTTCTTTTCTTTTTCTTTTTTTAAAGATTTTATTTATTCATTTGCGAGAGGAAGAGAGAACAAGCAGGGGGAGAGGCAGAGGGAGAAGCAGACTCCCTGCTGAGCAAGGAGCCCGATGCGGGACTCGATCCCAGGACCCTGGGATCATAACCTGAGCCGAAGGCAGATGCTTAACCAACTGAGCCACCCAGGTGCCCAGGAGATTTTCTTTTTTAAAGTATTTGCTTTAATACAATTACATTGTTTTTACTTTTAAAAAATAAATAATACCCATGATAATAGGGGGAAAGTGCTGAATTAGCTATATATGTGCTCTGCTGAACAGACCCCTAATTAAACCATTGAACTTAAGTCACTATTACTGATCAATACAAGGATATTTGAGGATATCAAACAAATTTGAGAATCTATTTTTAAAACTGGTTTAATGAATTTATCAGCAATTCTGAGGACTCCTGGTTGACGTCCAGTGGGGATCCGTGGTAACTCTTCTCCATGTCATGTTCCACCCTCATGCCCAAGCTTTAAGTTAGCAGCTTTGATCCATCTTAGTCTTAGCCATCAGTGATTTTATAGGTCTGACTTTTGGTCTTGTTCTTGGATACAGTGTGTCTCTTTCAGAAAAGCCACGTTCGTGTATCCAGCTTCAGAATTCTGTGAACACGAAAGAGTCGAGTCGGGAGACTTGGGGTTTGCCATTGCTGCTTCTGATGTATGTTCTTTAATCTCTTGAAGACTTCCAACCGACTCTACTAAACCTGTTCCTGAAAAACTAAGAATGGCCATATGTGAGGACTTGGTGAAAACAGGATCTCTTGGTAGCACTTTGGGGTTACAGGGATAAGGTATCAATAGGATTTCAGTTTTTACAACTGTCAAACACAAAGGAAATCAAATACATTTAGCTTAAACTTATGTTTATGGATTACTTTCTACCTTAAGTCAAGATTCTGTCAGGTGTGGGGGTGAAGAGGTGGAAAGAGAGAAGGGATTGGGAAAAGATTCAAATACTAAATATAGAAATATTACTCCCAAATGCTATGCTTTGTCAAGCCAGCAACTCAGGATGAGTTAGGCAGTCATGACTCTCAGGCTTGCAGATGATTGTCTTGACTTTACTAACCTGGAGTTTGGTAAGGGCAAGATTTTATTCAATAATTCCAATTCAGCGATGTCACAAATTGTCTCCTGAAAGAAAAGAAAGGATATTTAAAATTATAATTATAAGCCATTGGCAATATGATCCTAAAAAGAGTGCTTTATATATATTTTTGGTTAAAAATTTAATCCCTTCCCCTCCTACTTGCTAGAATGGCCATCCTAAAAAAGACAAGGGATAACAAATGCTGGCAAGGACGTGGAGAAAAGGGAGTCTTTGTGCACTGTTGATGGGCATGTACATTGGTACAGCCACTGTGGAAAACAGTATGGAGGTTCCTCAAAAAATTAAAGACAGAAATACCATATGATCCAACAATTCCACTTCTGTATCTGGAGAAAATGAAATCACTGTCTGAAGATATCTGCACCCCACCCCATGTTCATAACAGAATGATCTTACATATACGTACAATCTAAAAAAAAAACCTCATAGAAGCAGAGATCAGATTTGCGGTTGCTAGAGGTGGGGGTGTGGTGGATGGAGGAATTAGGTGAGGGTGATCAAAAGGTACAAATTTCCAGTTACAAGATAAATTCTGGGGATGTAATGTACAACCTGAAGACTACAGTTAACAATACTGTACTGTATATTTGAAAGTTGCTAAGACAGATCTTAAAGGTTCTCATCGTCAGGAAAAAAAATCATAACTATGTGAGGTGATAGATGTTAACTAATCTTACCGTGATAATCATTTTGCATTGTATATATATATATCAAATCACTGTTATACGAAACAAAAGTTATACTTTTTAACTTATACAATGAATGTTGTATGTCAATTACATCTCAATAAAACTAAAAAAATTTAATCCCTAAATACCTATAGAATATCTGGTAATTATAAATCTTATACTTTTATATTAAAATTTTCATTGTAAGCCTGCTTATTATATCTATTTTCCTACATGAATTACCTCATATTAGCTGATAATAATCATTCTGTTCTACTAGGTAAGTTTTTTTTTTTTTAAGATTATTTTTTATTTATTTATTTGAGAGAGAGAGAGAATGAGAGATAGAGAGCATGAGAGGGAAGAGGGTCAGAGGGAGAAACAGACTCCCTGCTGAGCAGGGAGCCCGACATGGGACTCGATCCCGGGACTCCAGGATCATGACCTGAGCCGAAGGCAGTCGCTTAACCAACTGAGCCACCCAGGCGCCCCTACTAGGTAAGTTTTTACTTACTAGTCTGGTAAACATTTTCTGTCCCTTTAAATCATGAAAAAAAGTATGTACTTTTTTGTAAAATCTGTGACTTTAAAAACCAAATACTCTTTCTCACACAAACCGATCAATACAGACCAAATTTTACATACAATTATGAGGGTTTACTGATTCTCCTAAACTTGGACCTCTGTTTAACCTTTTATACAGGCCAACTCATTTCTGTGAGAAATTCTTAGTTATCCTGAAATAAATGAGAAGCTTCTATAAGGAAGAAAAAACTAGCATTCAGAGAAATTTATGTGTTAAAAATATTACTCGACTAGGAGGTAGGAGAGCAAGGCTTGAATTCTGGCTCTACTAGTTAGACTCTGATATGTCCCATTACCTCTCTGAGTTTTGTTTCCTACATTTAAAATGTGAGAATAACAATTAATCACTAATCTTTCAGGGTTATTGTGAAAATTAATTAACATAAGCATACCTACCATATAGGAGGAACTCAATAAATGTTCTATATAGAAACAAATGTATGTATATTTACTGAGAAAAAGAAGCTGTATTTATTGAATGCCATTTATTTGCCAAGCAATACACTAGGTACTTTATATGCATTATTCTAATTATTCTACTTTATCTCCAGTAGCCATCTCTGAATTTATTTATTTATTCATTCATTCATTTATTCATTCATTCTTATAATAGCTTTATGGAGAAATAATTCACACACTATACAATTCAGGCATTTAAAGTGCACAATTTGGGGTGCCTGGGTGGCTCAGTTGGTTAAGCATTTGACTCTTGGTTTTGGCTCATGTCGTGATCTCAAGGTCATGGGATCAAGCCCCATGTCAGACTCCACCATGGAGTCTACTAGTCTCTCTCCCTCTGCTCTACCTCCCGCTTGCACTTTCTCTCTCTCAAATAAATAAATAAAAATAAAGTGCACAATTCAACAGTTTTTAGTATATTCACAGGGTTGCACAACCATTATTACAATAAATTTTAGAATATCTTCATCACCCCCAATATAAACCTAATACCCTTTAACTACAGCCCCCATCCCCCAGTGCCTCAGCCCTAGGCAACTACTCATCTACTTCTATGTTTATATATTTGCCTATTCCGGACATTTTATATAAATGGACTCATATAATACATGGTGAGTGGATTTTTTTCATTTCACATAATATCCTTAAAGTTCATCTGCATTATAACACGGATCAATACTTCATTCTTTTTTACGGTTGAATGGTATTCTGTTGTATGGATGGATATACCACATTTTATTTATCCATTCATCACTTGATAGACATTTGGGTTGTTTACACCTCTTGGCTATTATCAGTAATGCTGCTATAAATATTCACATACAGATTTTGGTGTGGAGCAGCCACCTTTTGAGTGTTATTACTTCCTTTTCCCAGATGAAGGAACTAGAAGGTGAATGAGGTTTCCTTCTTTCACACAACTAGTAAAATGCTGAGCTGGGATTTGGGACGTAAGGTGCAGTGAGAAAACCTATCAAGGACACAAAGCCATATTTGGAGAGGGGAGGATTCAGAAAAAGCTTTATGGGAGAGAAGATATTTAGGTTGAATTATGAGGGACAGTAGGAACCAGCCAAAAGAAAATCTGGGGCAGGGAAGTCATGGGAGAAGGCAATGGAGGGAGAGGGATTTCCTAGAAGAGCCTAAAGAAGACGGTGGTAAGTCATTGTATGGCTTTGGGTCATATGCTCAGATTATATTTTGTGAAGACCCCTCTGGCTATAGACTAACGGAACAATAGGATTTCAAAGGACAAAAGCCAGGAAGATGAGAGAGGGAAGGAAGATGGGATGTGTCTTTCCAAGTAAGGGAAATACATAATCCAGAGGTCGGAAACCAGAGCTTTGGGGGAAACAGTAAATAGATTGGTTTCATTTGATCAGACTTGTTTGATGTCAGAAAGTTATTTGAACTATGGGAAGTTCCTACGTGGCTTCAGTTCCTCTGGATTAGACATCAACTCTGGAAGCCTTCCCTAACCACCCCAGACAGGTTTAGATGCCACTCTGCCTGCCTTCACAGCATTCTGGGCCTACCACTATTGTAGAACTCATCACAGCGTATGGTATTTGCTGGTTATATGATGGTCACTCTCATCAGAGCTGAATTCTGTGAGGGCAGACACTGTATCTTGTACATCACCACATCCAAACCACAAGGGGGGACAGTATGAGGCCTGGCACCCTGTATATGCCTAGTAAATAGCTGTTGAATGAATGAATTTTATCTGATAGACAAAGCAAGTCTCTGAAACTCTGTGAGATGAAGTACTATGAAGGCAAGCGGGGCTTCATGAGGATTAGTCTGGAGGCATGCATGGGACAGATTAGGAGGAAAGACTGAAAGGAGATGAGTTAAGTTGTTGCTATAACCCAGGTACTAAGGGATTGGGATGCAGAGGGTAACACAACAGACGTAGTTCCTGCTCTCATGGCGTTTATAATCCAGCAGAGAGGAAAGATGAGATTACAACACAGGAAGCAACATGGTCTCTTACAAGGCTATGTCCCTGGTTACCCCCATACCCCAAAAGGGAAACAGTAGACTTGGGGTATTACGAGATAGTGGCTAAGAACAAGGTACCAGACAGAGTTTATTTCAGTCCCTGTTCTTCTACTTATTGGCGATATGTCTTGGGCAATGATGTCACTTCACCTCTCTAGAGCTCAGTTTCCTCAGCTGTGAAAATGGCAAGGTTATTTTGTAGATTAAACGAGATAATGTACATAAAATCCTTAGCACAGTAACAGGCGCATAGCAAGCACTCAACAAATGTCAAGCTTTCACTATTTCAGCCTCTGAGGTGTTGCAAGGAAGGAGGAGATCTAGGATATGTCTGATCTCAGGGATCTATAAACTGATCTGTTTGTAGTACGATACTCAATCCCTGAGAATCAGGAGATGTGGGAAATGTCAGCAGTAGCTGTGTGACTCAAGCATACCATTTAACCTCTCTTGAGTTTTATCTCCCTCCTGTATAAAATGAGGGGATTGAATCAGAAGATCCTTAAGATTCTAAGTTTAAAAACAATTTTGGAGTTGTTTTAACAGGTATGAAGATATTATAAGTTGGTACTTTTGTGACACATGAAATGTGGAGCTTGAGGTACTATAGTCCTGACCCCTGTCACATTTCTTATCTTGTTCGAGGATAATGTGTGGATCTCAAAGCTATCGGGTCTAATATATACTCCATTAAGGCTCTAACTCAGCACCTATGATACTATAGTGCTTGTTCATGTATGTCTCTTTCCTTCTCTACTAGACTAAAGACTTCCAGAAACAGAGTCTATCTTCATATCCCTAGGACTTAGCATAGTTTCCTGAATTGATAAATGTTTGTTGAATGAATAAGTAAAATAGTGAATGACTAGACAGTTGAGAACAATTGTAGCTCAAGCAAAAACATAAACTATTGGAAATTAAGCCACATAATCTGGCAGTTCTACTTTGGACAAAATATACAAAACAACTCATATAATTTGGAAATAATCACCTTTCTTTTTTCTTTCTTTCTTTCTTTCTTTTTTTCTTTCTTTCTTTCTTTCAGGTTTTATTTATTTATTTGACAGAGAGATACAGAGAGAGCAAAAGTAGGCAGAGCAGCAGGCAGAGGGAGAGGGAGAAGCGAACTCCCCACTGAGCAGGGAGCCCAATGCAGGGCTCGATCCCAGGACCCTGGGATCATGACCTGAGCCAAAGGCAGAAGCTTAACTGACTGAGCCACCCAGGGACCGCTCACCTTTCTTTTTTTTTTTTTTTTAAGATTTTATTTATTTATTTGAGAGAGAAAAGTGTATGCATGAGTTGGGGGAAGGGCAGAGTGAGAGGGTGAGAAAGAATCCCAAGCAGATTCTGTGCTGAGTGCAGAGCCCAACACGGGGCTTGATCCCAGAACCCCGAGACCATGACCTGAGTCGAAATCAAGAGTTGGACACCCGACTGACTGAGCCACCCAGGCACTCCAGAAATAATCACCTTTCTGAGAGCAAACCAGATGTGGGTCTTATGCTCATAGCAATAGTACCTAACAAGCAGGATCTACATGAAGTATCCCAGAAGGAAACATCTAGCAGGTGATAACAAGCCAGGAGAGAAAGCAAGAAGCCTCTATCCTGGATTTAGAATGCACCTCTGATCACTGAAGTCCCTCTCACTGACACATTCACCAGCCAGACTCTGGACCTTCTCTGAATCTATACTATTTGGCACATCTATCTAGACTTGGCTACTTGTCTGCTTGGATTTTTGTAACTTAATTGCTTTTTCTCTGACTCTTTTGTTCTCCTTAGGCTTGACCCCATGCCAGACCAGACTATCTTCATTTACCTCTTTGAGCCTCAGATTTGCTCATTTCTCAGACAGGGCTAGAATAATCCATGGCAAACAGGGTTGAGAATGAGGTATACATGTGAAAGCATTTAATATTCATTCTCAAATATTTATGGAGCACCTGTCTGTAGATAAAATGACATATGAAATACAATCCTTGCCCTCCAGGATCTCACTGCTGAGTTGAGATAGACAAGCAAAAAGACAATAGTGATACAGTGTTAAAGAAGCTATGAGGCATGCACAATCTCTTTGGGATCACATAGGAGGAGAGTGTCTACTAAAAGCTGACTCAGGAGCGCCTGGGTGGCTCAGTTGGTTGGGCGTCCTACTCTTGATCTCGGCTCGGGTCTGATTCTCAGGGTCATGAGTTCGGGCCCCACTTGATCTCAGGGTCGTGAGTCTGGGCCCCAAACTGACCCAATGAAGAGCAAAGCTGGCCAAGAACAGTCTCAGGGTCTGCTGCTCTGGTGCAGCCAATGAGCTTCTTTGCCACAGGCCACCATGAAGCCAAGTGCAGCCTACAGCTACATGAAGATGAAGAGAGAACACAACAACCTTGGCAACTAGGCTTCATATGAAGGACACGACAGAAGCATGCATCTTACCTCTCTGTGAATCCGGATGCTCCTTCTGATATGCTCTAAGAGGCCAACCTGCTGTGTAAGACGGAAAGTAGTTTCCTGCAATTGCCTATTTTCTTTATCCAGAAGAAGTACTCTAAGAATGGGATAGATCAGAGGAATAACTAACATTTCTGGATCACTACTAAAAACTCAAAACTATGTCCCACTTACCACTAGCTCTGGGTCTTAGCCCACTGCCCAGATTATGGAACCAACTTTGGCAGAATAATGCCCACCATGTTCCAAGACCAAGTAGAAATTAATAAGCTTTTGGCCTGTATAGAGTCATTAAAAACATATTAAGAACAGAGACATATCATATGCAAGAGTATGGAAGGGAAGGCACAATTCTAGCCCTTGAGAAATCTGACAAAGGATATGATCCCACTTAGGGGTGGGGCTGAAACAAGAGACTCTGCATCCCTTCAAATATTGTAGCTACACAGCCTGCATCTAGTTCTCATCTCATACAGTCATCCCATACTTTTGGAATATTAGTAGCAGTAGTAGTAGTAGTAACAGCAGCAACAACAGTAATAGTAATAGTAGCAGCAGCAGCAGCAGTAGTAGCAGAAGCAGCAGTAGCAATAGCAGTAGCAGTAGTAATAGTAGCAGCAGCAGTAGTAGTAACAGCAGCAGCAATAGTAATAGCAGCAGTAGTAGTAATAGTAGTATTAGCAGCAGTAGCCACAGCAGCAGTAGTAATAGTAGCAGCCGCAGCAGTAGTAATAGTAGCAGCAGCAGTAATAGTAGTAATAGTAGTAGTAGCAGCCACAGCAGTAGTAGTAATAGTAGTAGCCACAGAAGTAGTAATAGTAGTAGCAGCAGCAGTAACAGTAGCAGTAGTAATAGTAGCAGCAGCAGCAGTAGTAGCAGCAACAGCAGTAGTATAGTAGTAGTGGCAGTAGTAGCAGCAACAGCGGTAGTAATAATAGTAGTGGCAGTAGTAGCAGCAGCAGTAATAGCAGCAGAAGTAATAGCAGCAGCAATAGTAGCAGCAGCAGTAGTAATAGTAGTAGCGGCAGTAGTAGCAGCAGCAGTAGTAGCAGCAGCAGTAGCAGCAGCAGTAGTAATAGTAGTAGTGGCAGTAGGAGCAGCAACAGTAGCAGCAGCAGTAGTAATAGTAGCAGTGGTAGTAGCAGCAGCAGCAGTAGCAGCAGCAGTAGTAATAGTAGTAGTGGCAGCAGTAGTGATAGTAGGAGCAGCAGCAGTAGTAATAGTAGGAGCAGCAGCAGTAGCAGCAGCAGTAGTAATAGTAGTGGCAGTAGGAGCAGCAGCAGTAGCAGCAGCAGTAGTAATAGTAGCAGCGGCAGTAGTAATAGCAGCAGCAGCAACCATTTACCACGGAGCAGTAGTGGCAGTAGCAGGAGCAGCAGCAGTAGCAGCAGCAGTAGTAATAGTAGTGGCAGTAGGAGCAGCAGCAGTAGCAGCAGCAGTAGTAATAGTAGCAGCGGCAGTAGCAGCAGCAGCAGTAGTGATAGCAGCAGCAGCAGCAGTAGTAATAGTAGCAGCGGCAGTAGCAGCAGCAGCAGTAGTGATAGCAGCAGCAGCAGCAGTAGTAATAGTAGTAGTGGCAGTAGGAGCAGCAGCAGTAGTATAGTAGTAGTGGCAGTAGCAGCAGCAGCAGCAGTAGCAGCAGCAGTAGTAATAGCAGCAGCAGTAGTAATAGTAGTAGTGGCAGTAGCAGCAGCAGCAGCAGTAGCAGCAGCAGTAGTAATAGCAGCAGCAGCAACCATTTACCACGGCCTTACCATGTGCTTAGGCACCATGCCCTACCCACAGAGTAAACACTTAAACCTGCTCATGTGTTGGCTCATCTGATCCTTGTGACAACCCCATGAGATGGATATTGTTATGGAACCTATTTTAGAGATGAGGAAACTGAAGCCCAGAGAAAAGCAATTGGTTTCAGGACATAAAACCAGAAAGTGGTAGAGCTGAGATGCCAGTCCAGATCTTTCCGATATCTAAGCCTGAGTTCCTAAGCACTACACCAGGCTCACTCTCCAGGGCCACAGTGTATTTGGGACACATGATGGTACAATAGCGTTGATCAGAGATTTGTGTTTGAGTTCAGGTTCTGCCACATACGAGCTGTGTAACCCTTGGCAAATTACCACATCTGAGCCTCAGTTTTCTCATCTGTAAAAGGAAGCAGCATCCTGTAGAAGAAACTTAACTCCAAGGAAAACATACAAGTCCAATCCAGATGGCCAAAAGGTGTCTTTAGGAGGGCAAAAGGGGAACATCATTAATGTTAAGGCATGGGTAATAAGTCAGTTGTGTTGGGAATGTCAGAATCAATGACCTAGCTTGAGAAGGGCAATGGCTCATATAGACTATATAAAAGGGGAGACACAGACAGTAAGAGATCATCAGAGACTCCCCAGGCCTGCCCTGAGAAGTGTGTGCCCACAACAGCAGAAAGGAGAGTTCCAGTCTGCTGGACAGATCTCCCCCACAGACTGTGGTGCTGTGGGCTCTAGGGCCAAGCTACTGAGGCCAAGCACACACTGCTCTGTCACTGACTAGGCTGCCTGAGTTCCTGAGCGTCTCTAGACCTTAGCTTTCTCACCCATAAAATAAGGCTAATCCCAGAGCCTCCCTCATGGGATTGGTGTGAGGATTGATGAGAGAGACAGAGAGTTTAGAACAATGCCTAGCACATTGTAAGTGCTCAAAAAATGTTAATCATTATAGTTATTATTGGTGACTCTATGTGTTAAGATCAAACCGCTCTCATTGCCCTAATTCTGTGCTCCAAGAAAACTTTTCATTGTAACTGGAGTTTCCTAATAGAGGAGAGAGAGCTTGGGCTGGCTGATATGTGAATTCTTCTCTGTTGGGACCATTTCTCATTATAAATTAATACAATTGGCATCCTATAGGTTTCATGAATTTAAGTCACTAGGTATGAGCCTGTTCCTCTCTTGATCTACCTTGATTCCAGAGGTATCAGGTGATAAAAATGAGTGTCAACACATAAAGTGACAGGCCAGAATGAGCACAGCTAGGTCCTCAGTCAGGCAATGCCTATGTGCAAGAGCCCAACTGAGTAGCTGACCCACCTCCTCCATGATCTTTTTGTTAATTTTATAACATTTGCACGAATTGCTGAAAACAGCAGGCAGCAGAGCAACAGTTATGAGATAGGCTGCAAACCCAAAGGACTGTCTCTGGAACAATCTCTTTGTTGAGGGAGAAACATCTTTGCAGAGTTCATTGGCTCCTCGGGCAGGACCGCACCTACCTGTTCTGGACTGAAGATATTACCCGTTTGTTGCTGTGGATTAATTCTTCTTGCTCTGCGAGTTGTTCCAGAAGTTTCCTTTTCTCTAGGAGCAGTATATCATTTTGAGCAGTGACCTCTTCCTGGAATGCCTTCTCCTAGAGATAAGAAGCCCCTCATTACCACAGCAGGAGGAAGAATTACGAAGTTGACAGCCAATTTCCCTTCTTTACTTTTCCTCTCCCGTCCCCTAGTCTGTTTTCACCTGTTTGCTGACATTGTCAGCTAGATATTTCTTCCGTTTATTTTGGTTATTTTAGGTCTTATATTTTTTTTGAACAATTAATCATTCTCCTGGGTTAACATTTAAAAATACCTGAGCACTCCACTTCCAATAAGGTCCCAAGGCTTTCATGTGTATTCTAATACCATAGGTATATCAAATCACTACCAAATGCAACTGAATTCCCCGAAGCTCCAGTCTGACATTTTTCCATATAATACAACTCCACCTGCATTGGGGTGATAGTCTTTTTAAGACTGGAAATTTAGCTCCCATACTTGGCAACCAGCATCAGGATCTCAGTTGCCTTGGCCAATGAAGCAGGTAAGCCAGCTACTGAGAATATCCTTGCAGTGATCATGCTAAAGAGACTTCTAACTTGACACCATGTCTCATTTTCTACCAACAATTTTCCCAGAAAGCAATAGCTAGTGAAGTTATAGCTAAAATGATAAAGGAGTGATCTGGTGAAAAAATACTAATGTTCTTATATTGAAAGAGTCAGTAGCTATTAATAAATTATCACTGTGGGTGAGGAGTTTAGAAGCTCAAAAGTGTAGAATTGCCCTCCTCATTTCACTGATGCCCCCCCGTCAGTGATAAGTCCTTCAACCTTCTGTGTTTGTGCCCCACCTGCCAAAGGCAGGAGTGAGTGGGGATGGGAGAAGCAGAATGAGCTGCTGGCAGATGGTGAATCACAGAGTTAAGAGGGGCAACTTTCTTTCTTTTAAATAAGGCACTAATATAAATCATCCAGAAAAGACTCCATCTATTATTCAAGAATTGTAAGAAAGGATATTACATTATGTTCCGAAACAAACCACTCCAGATTTTAAAGTCCCGCAGCCAGGACCCTTCAATGTCTAACAATAGTCTTGTCTGCTCTTATTTAAATACATTTTTGGTGAGGCTTGAGAACAGAAGCAGTCATCCCACCAATACTACTCTGCTGTTACAACTGGATTAGAAAGGAAACCAGATGGGGCAGGCTACTGACACTCTGCCCTTTGGAAATGTCTTTTTTTTTTGGAACCAGAAAATCAGGGCACCTGCTCTAATAAAAGGATAAAATATTTGGAGAATCTGGTCTGGATGTTTACAACAGGCAGGAGACTCAACTGGCTCACTGTATAAAGAGAAGGGTGAAGGAACGAAATCCAAAAAAATGTGCCATTACTTTCTGGAGACTTGGTGCTTGGAAGGTGAGTCCAGCTTTTTTATGCCCGTGGCTCTGGTCCACGGGCCCTAAAATAAGTAAAACCAGGACCTCCAGGTGTGTACCACTGTGGCATTAAAAGATCTCACATCAGTCTTCTCTAGGCTAAGTATCTCCTATTCCATTAACAATTCCTCTCATGAACTATACATCTACCAATCAACATGTTTCTAAGAGAGCTTACACTAAAAGAGAAGAGAAGAACATCTCCGGAAAGTTGTCTGTGTCAGGTGCCACCTCAGGCATTTCCTATTTTAACTGCACAAAAGCCTCGTGAGGTGGGGATTAGTTCTGCCATTTCACGGACCAGGAAAATGATACCTGGAGACTTGGGCCAGGTCACAGAACTATGAAGTGGCAGGTCTCGATTTTGCATCTGTCTATGGCCAAAGCCCCCAGCAGCCTTCAAGGGCAGTGAGCAAAGAGACCAACTGCTCTTCCTTAGCCTCTGCTTATTTGCCATCTCTCCTGGATATCCGTGGTTTTCTGGGTAGATGTGTCTGTTTCCCAGGGCTGCTGTAACAAATTACCACAAACTGGATGGCTGAAAACAAAAGGAACAGGTTTTCTCACATGTGTGGAGGCTACAAGTCTAAAATTGGAGTGTTGGCTGGGTAAGTTCCTTCTGGGGGCTCTATGCCTCTCTCTCAGCTTCTGGAGTTTACAAGCAACCCCCGATGCTGCCTGGCATAGCTGCATCCCTCCAATAGCTGCCTCTATTGTCACGTGGCCTTCTTCCCTTGTGTGTGTCTACGTGGGCCTGCTCTTCTTATAAGGACGCCAGTCATACTGGATTTAGGGCCAACTCTAATCCACCATGAGCCCATCTTAATTAATTACACCTGCAAAGACCTTATTTCCAAATTAGATCCCATTCTGAGGTTCTGGATAGACACGAATTTGTGGAGGACACTATTCAACGCAGTACAGTCAGGAAGAAAGAAGTAGGGGGCTGTTTCTATCATGTAAGCCAAACAGTGGAAGGCAGGCAGTACAAAAGAGTGGTAATGCAGAAGTAGGCTTCTAGTTCTTGTGTGCCCACCAACCAGGATTGCTACTTTCTTCTGTAGTACTTTTCATGTACTTTTCCGAGTTGTGAGTCTAACCTAGATCTGAGTCTTTAAAGTTTGACAATTTAGTACCCAAAGAGAAGGATACTGCAAAATCCAACTTATTTTCCTCTCTCACTATAGTGTGGAGAATCAGGAGGATTTTTTTTTAAACATTGGTTAAACATCTGTTATAATCCAAAAATGTTTTATTGTGTGTAGTCTAGAATTCTTAACCACCCCATAATAGCCCATGGAATGACTGAAATTGCATGAATTCTTTTGGGATCCTTGGCACATATATAGAAATGAGTATTTTAGGAGTGAGCACAGAGTTTTCAAAATTCGGATGGGCTAGGCATCTCAAGAAGGGAAAGCATTACTGGCCTAGTCAGTTGCTCTCTACTTTGAATTCGTGTAGTTTAATGATCTCAAGACCATTCTGCAGTTGATTCCATGCCATTTGTCTATTTTCCTCCAACCTACCAGTAAGTCACAGGGGCAATGGGACAAAGATGAAGAAGACGTGGATATTTAGAAAAAAAGCCTGTAGACACTACACAAGGACTGATAAATAGAGGTCACCAATTTTCACTGCCATTTAAAACTGACAGAAGTTTGGGCGCCTGGGTGGCTCAGTTGGTTGGACGACTGCCTTTGGCTCAGGTCATGATCCTGGAGTCCCGGGATCGAGTCCCACATCGGGCTCCCTGCTCAGCAGGGAGTCTGCTTCTCCCTCTGACCCTCTTCCCTCTCGTGCTCTCTATCTCTCATTCTCTCTCTCTCAAATAAATAAATAAAATCTTTAAAAAAAAAAAAAAATGACAGAAGTTTGAGGCAAAATGAGGGCTATGTGAAGTAGGAATGAGTTACGTAGGGTGGTCTGGAAGTCTCTGCTGATGGATATTTAAGAGAAGACATTTTCATTTGAAAACAAGACACTGACTGGAGTTGGAAGTGCAGGATAGTTTCACTGTCTGATTCAGTTTACTAACACCATGAGTCTTACATACTTTTTGGCAGAATTACTCACATCGAAAGAAGGTGCGGAAAGAAATGAGAACCTAGAGTACGAAGAGGCCACAAGAGAATTAAAGCACCAGTGGGCTTTCTCGAATGAGCCAAGCCACGGCACATTGGGGAGCTCTTCACCTTTCCACTCACCATTTCCCTTTGCTGATGCAGACCTCTGATTTCATTTCCCAGGTGTTCAATTCTCTCATCTCATAGTTCTACTTCATGAATTAAACGGTCCTTAACTCTGCGAAGCTTGACTTTGTGATGGTGATGTTTCTTGTTATAGTACCTATAAAAGTAAATTTAAAGAGAGGCGCAGCTGAGCACAGTGGACATTCATGTTGCTTCCTCAGTGTGCACCTTTCTTGGGTTTCCTCCTCTTGCTTTCTTGAGGCCTGCCACCAGATGTGGATACTTGTCCTGCCTCCCATCTGCTCCTGCAGATGGTCCCCAAGTAGGGGAATGGACCAAGGGTAACCTCCTAAATAGCACCAGCTTTAGTCACCCCCAACTCAGGAAACTCCTTGACTTTTGATCCCTTACATCTAATTCTGAATCCTGCTCCATGGAGTCAGTCATTAATTTAAGTTTCGAGTTCTTGGCCATCCCCTTGGACGGTGATATAACCCACTTCAATCTCTGATAACTGAGTCTGCTCTCAGTCCTTGCCCCGGGTCTGGACTTCTGAAGGCCAATTCTATGTATGTCTCTGCTCAAGACTCTAACTCAGATTCTGACATAAATCAAACTTACCGCCAATAAGTACATGAAAAGATATTCAACATCATTAGCCATTAAGGAAATGTAAATCAAAGCTACAGTGAGATACCATTTCACACCCACCAGGCTAGCTAAAATAAAAAAGAAGACAATAACAAGTACTGGCAAAGATGTAGAGAAATTGGAACTTTCAAACACTGATGGTCAAATGGTGCAGCCTCTTTGGAAAAAGCCTGGCAGTTCCTCAAATTGTTAAACGTAGAGCCGTAGGACCCAGCAGCTCCACTCCTAGGTATCTACCCAAGAGAAATGAAAACATATGTCTTCACAAAAACTTATATGTGAATATTCATAGTAGCACTATTCACAATAGCCAAAAGGTAGAAACAACCCAAAGACCATCAACTGATGAAAGGATAAACAAAATATGGAATATCTGTACAGTGGAACATGACTCTGCCACAAAAAGTAATGAAGTGCTGATCTACGCTACAACATAGAGGAAACTTGAAAGCATTATGCTAAGTGAAAGAAGCCTCACTCACAAAGGACCACATATTATATGATTCCATTTCTATGTAATGTCCAGAAGAGGCAAATATAGAGGATTCCTGGTTTCCTAGGGTTGGGGGTGGGGAGGGAAATTGGGGATGGCAGATGATAACTAAAGGGTTTCTTCTGGGGGTAATGAAATGTTCTAAAATTGATTGTGGTGACAGAGGTACAACTAAAAGCCACTGAATTGTACACTTTAAGTGGGTGAGCTGTATGGTATGTCAATTATATCAATAAACCTGTTTTTAAAAAAAGAACAAAAATCTATGTTACCTTTTCAAGCTACTATAATAGCTAATATGAGTAAACAAGAAAACAGATTAAAGCAATACCACCACCAGGCAAACCTCTTTGAAGATGACCGTGCTTTCCAAATAAGAATATTGTTATTCAGAAAGCACTTCTGCAAATTAAAAATTGCAGAGAGATTTTACTTTGAACCTATTAGATCTGATAACACAAAATCACTCTAAACTAGGATTTCTTGACCTTTGTCCTATTGACATTTTGTGCCAGATAATTCTTTGTTGTGGAAGTCTGTACTGTGCGTTGTAGAATGCTTAGCAGCATCCTTGGCCTCGACCCACTAGATGCCAGTAGTACCTTCTACAGTGTGACAACCCAAAATATCTCCAGACATTGCGAAACGTCCCCTTGTCCTGGGAGGCAAACTACAGCCTGCTGAGAACCATTGCTGCAGCTAACTTTCCTAAACTGGGTTTTCTCTAAGCCTACAGCCGTGATTCTCAAACTGTGTTCTGACTGGCAACATCAGCCTCACCTGGGAACTTGTTGGAAATGCAAAGTCTCAGGCTCTATCCCAGAACTACAGAATCATAAACTCTGGGAGTGCATCAGTGCTTTGTCATAAGTCCTCTGGGGATTCCAATGCAGGCTAAAGCTTGAGAAAGCTATGGGCATATTAGGGAGGGAGCCCCTCATCACTTCCATTTCATTATAAACAGGCTACCTGTGGCAGGCTATAAGGTGCAGGTATATAGCTTTTCTTCTTTCCTGCTAACAAAACCCAGATTTCATTTAGGTGTCCACAGAGAGCCCTTGATCTTGAGAAAGGTGGGTGGGCCCCAGATGTGTGGGTGTGTGTGTGTTTGTGTGTGTGTGTAGCTTGTGAGACAGGTATGCCTGCTGGGCACTTCTAGGAACTTGAGAAACCAACCCTCTCTGCCCTGGCTGCCCTCCGCTGAGGCTGCACTACCTGCAGCCGCAGTCTCTGCCTTGTAACCATGACGTGACAAGCCTAAAGACGAAGGGGTCAACCCACCAAGCATGGCGGAGCAGAATGAAGGAAAGGGCCTGGTCCTTAACAACACCCCTGAGCAGCTGAATCTGCCTCAGCAATCATCTTCCTCCAGATTTCTTGTTACACGAGAAAAAAATTTTGGTCTAAATATATCAGGTCAGTTTTTTTGTTTTGTTTTGTTTTGTGGTTAATTACATCCTGATATCTTAAAAACAAAAAAACTACTCCAAACAAAGACCATTCTTTTTTTTTTTTTTTTTTTGGTATATATCTTAATGTGGAAAACATCCTGAGAGACATTTGTATACAAAAAAAAAAAACAAAAGAAACATGATTTTTCCTTTAAGTTTTCTTTTTTCTTTCTTTTTTAAATTCAATTAATTAACATATAGTGTATTATTAGTTTCAGAGGTAGAGTTCAGTGACTCATCAGTCTTTTTTTTTTAATTTTTTTTTTAAGATTTTATTTATTTATTTGACAGAGAGAGACACAGTGAGAGAAGGAACACAAGCAGGGGGAGTGGGAGAGGGAGAAGCAGGCCTGCCGCAGAGCAGGGAGCCCGATGCGGGGCTCGATCCCAGGACCCCGGGATCATGACCCAAGCCGAAGGCAGACGCTCAACGACTGAGCCACCCAGGCGCCCCGTGACTCATCAGTCTTATATAACACCCAGTGCTCATTACATCACATGCCCTCCTTTATATCCATCACCCAGTTACTCCATCCCGCCACCCCCCTCCCCTCCAGCAACCCTCAGGTTGTTTCTTATGATTAAGGGTCTCTTATGGCTTGTCTCCCTCTCTCATTTCATTTTGTTTTATTTTTCCCTCTCTTCTATGATCCTCTGTTTTGTTTCTTAAATTCCACATGAGTGAAATCATATGGTAATTGTCTTTCTCTGATTGACTTATTTCACTTAGCATAATACACTCTAGTTCCATGTTGTTGCAAATGGCAAGATTTCAGGGTTTTTTGATGGCTGAGTAATATTCCATTGTATATACATACCACATCTTCTTTAGCGATTCATCTGTTGATGGACATCTGGGCTCTTTCCATAGTTTGGCTATTGTGGACATTGGTGCTATAAATATTGGGGTGCAGGTGCCCCTTTGGACCACTACATTTGTATCTTTGGGGTAAATCCCTAGTAGTCCAATTGCTGGGTCATAGGGTAGCTCTATTTTCAACTTTTTGAGGAAGAGCAAAAACTATTCTAATGGGGGGCACCTGGGTGGCTCAGTCTGTTAAACATCTGCCTTTGGCTCAGGTCATGATCCCAAAGTTCTAGGATCAAGCCCTGTGTCAGTCTGCCTGCTCAGAGGGGGAGTCTGCTTCTGCCTCTCCTTCTGCCCCCCACCCCCACCCAACTCATGCTCTCTTTCTCTCTCTCAAATAAATATATATTAAAAAATTATTCTAATGGTCTCTATAGCTCCAGACTCCCCTGAATGCCTAGATATTTGGGTAAAACCATTTTAACTGAAAAAAAAAAGTGTTTAAGGAATGAGAAAAAAAAATGTTTAAGGATGAGAAAGCTACTCTTTGTCACTGTAGGCACTTGAGGGCACAGTCATTCAGGCCTGTGGTGGCAGGCAGTTTGCACATGTCAACGATCTGATCTTACCAGATCTTACCTCTGACACTTAAACTGGGGGAAGCCCTAACTTAAGTGAAGGGAACTAACTAAAAACCTGTGCTCCAGGCTTTTCACAAGACACCTCATTTGATTTTTTTTTAAAACATTTTATTTTTGGGGCACCTGGGTGGCTTAGTTGGTTAAGCGACTGCCTTCGGCTCAGGTCATGATCCTGGAGTCCCGGGATCGAGTCCCACATCGGGCTCCCTGCTC